AAGGACAAAGCCTGGATCAGAAGGCACCGCATTTCAAGAAAGATGTGGAGAAATTGGAGAGGGTCCAAAGAAGAGCAACAAGAATGATTAAAGGTCTTGAGAACATGACCTATGAAGGAAGGCTGAAAGAATTGGGTTTGTTTAGTTTGGAAAAGTGAAGACTGAGAGGGGACATGATAGCAGTTTTCAGGTATTTAAAAGGGTGTCATAAGGAGGAGGGAGAAAACTTGTTCACCTTAGCCTCTAAGGATAGAACCAGAAGCAATGGGTTTAAACTGCAGTAAGGGAGGTCTAGGTTGGACATTAGGAAAAAAGTTCCTAACTGTCAGGGTGGTTAAACACTGGAATAAATTGCCTAGGGAGGTTGTGGAATCTCCATCTCTGGAGATATTTAAGAGTAGGTTAGATAAATGTCTATCAGGGATGGTCTAGATGGTATTTGGTCCTGCCATGCGGGCAGGGGACTGGACTCAATGACCTCTCGAGGTCCCTTCCAGTCCTAGAATCTATGAATCTATGAATCTATGAAAGCTTCCCAGTCTGTTCCAGGCAGCACCCCCAGATATGTGAGAGAGGAGGGTTACCTGAGCAAACAACACCGGCGTGACTGGCCTCCTCACACAGCCACTGCAAGGGCTCAGTCCCCACCACTGACATGCTGCCACTTCGGGGTGGGACAGGGCAGCTGAGAGTCAGGGCACAGAAATATGGTGACTGTGCATGACTGGAAGCAGGGGGAAATGTTTGCCTAATCAGAGCTATGGGGGATATTACAGGTTCAGGGGTAATTATCTGTGGGGCAAATTATCCAGCATGGTTGTGCTAGGAACCCAACTGTTGATGAAGTGACCCGGGTTTCTAGTCCCCAGGAGCAGCTGCAAGCTCTGTTTGACACCAAGTCCCACAGCTGGGATCCATGCTTACCAGTGCCCCATTGTGCCAGAAGGGCGGGAGATCAGAGCGATCAGAGCGGGGAGGGGGCCTCTCACTGTGCCCCACACACTACCCTCTGCAGCTCACGCCCCCTAGCTCAACTCCGGGGAATTGTAAGCATCACTGACTGTGAGGAGAGAGCCCCATACCCTGCAGCACAGACCTTTTGTCAGCCAGTGGGAGGACTGGGGTCAGCCCAGACTGCTAGGGGAGAGCACCCCCTACTGTGTTCCCAACCTGCTCCCTTCAGTACAGGCCCATAGCACAATGCTGGGGCACAGGAACTCAGATGGGGAACCAGGGGCTACACCGAAAGCTTCCTAATCCACTCCCTGTAGTACCCACCATGACAGAAGAGATGAGGCTTACCTGAGCACACAACACCAGCATCTTCTATGTGGTAACAGTTATGCTCTCCCCAAGGCCGAGCCCTGCATTCGGAGAGGGCAGCTTCTGTCCCTGTGCAGTTGACGTCAGCCAGCCAGATACGGTCAGTTCCCTGTCCAAACCGAGACTTGCGTGGGGCTGATAACGCCGTCCCACAGCCCAGCTGCCTGCACACGACTCTGGCCTCAGTTAAGTCCCAGCCATCATCACACACGGTTCCCCACTGCTGGTTGTGAAGCACCTCGACTCTCCCAGCGCAGCGATTGGGGCCATTCACCAGTTGGAGAGGACCTGGGTCTGGAATGACCGAGTCTGCAAACGCAATAAATACTCAAGGAGATTCCTGTGCATCTGATCACAAGTGATGCTGATGACTGTATTGCCTACCACTGATGTGGGTGACTGGCCTCCTCACACAGCCACTG